CTCTATTTTACTGGGTCTCGATCTTGGTCGACCTCGAGCTTAATCGGTCCCAGGGTCTCGATAACTCAACCCCGCGCCATAGATAAAAATCGAGATCCAAACTTGATCTACCATGTTCCAGCCTTGGTCAGTCGAACAAAAAGGGGCATCCCGATTTTGACCGTATACAGATAGTCCCCTCGTTTTTGGGAGTGAATGACAAGAAACGAATTGAGTCCGAGTTCCTTTGCTTGTTTTTCTAAAAGCGCCAAATATTCCAATCTCTATTCTTCCTTGCTTACAAAAATAAAATGGCCAAAACGACTAAAACCATTCCGCAAAAGGAAACTACTCAGGTTCGGTCAAAGGAGGTTGTCGAACGCGCCAAGTGTCAGTCTCAGAGGGAGACTCTTGAAAAAAACCCATGCTCGAGGCTTTGATTTTCGATTGAGGTCGATGGACTCTGAATGACCATTTGAACTAGAGTTTGAATAGCTCTTAGGCTTACTAGTCGAGTGAGGATTTGCTCGAACTCGAAGTAAAGTTAACCCTTAGGTTTTATAGATCGTCCCTGAGTGAGAGTTTGCTCGAACTTGGATTAAGATAGCCCTTGGGCTTTTATGATCGAGTAAGGATTTGCTCGAACTTGAAGTGAAGTTAGCCTCTAGGCTTACCTGTCGAGTGAGGATTTTCTCGAACTCGAAGTAAAGGTAGCCCTTAGGCTTTATAGATAGTCCTCGAGTGAGAGTTTGCTCGAACTTGGATTAAGATAGCCCTTGGGCTTTTATGATCGAGTGAGGACTTGCTCGAACTCTAAGTGAAGTTAGCCCTTAGGCTTTATAGTCGAGTGAGGATTTGCTCGAACTCGAAATAACGTTATCCCTTAGGCTTTATAGATAGTCCCTTAGTGAGATTTTGCTCGAACTCGGGTTATGATAGCCCTTGGGCTTTTACGATCGAGTGAGGACTTACTCGAACTAGAAATGAAGTTAGCCCTTAGGCTTTATAGCCGAGTTAGGATTTTCTCGAACTCGAAGTAAAGTTAGCCCTTAAACTTTATAGATAGTCCCTGAGTGAGAGTTTGCTCGAACTCGGGTTAAGATAGCCCTTGGGCTTTCATGATCGAGTGAGGGCTTGCTCGAACTCGAAGTGAAGTTAGCCCCTAGGTTTTATAGCCGAGTGAGAATTTTCTCAAGCTCGAAGTAGAGTCAGCCCTTGGGCTTTATAGATAGTCCCCGAGTGAGAGTTTGCTCGAATTCGGGTTAAGATAGCCCTTGGGCTTTTATGATCGAGTGAAGACTTGCTCGAACTCGAAGTAGAAGTAGCCCTTAGGCCTTTGTATTTGTTACGGATTTCGGACGTCTCTGATCCGTGTTAATTTGGCCGTAGCCTCTTTAGTTTAGATTTTTCCCTTTGGGCTTATTTTCCATTTCACCTCGAGCTTGCCCGAAGTGTCAGTCCCTGAGTGGGGTGGTCGTGGCCTGTAAAATTGAGGGTCGCCTTTAAGGTCTTATGGTCTCGAAATTTTAGTAGCTCGATTTCGTTTGTTTTTCGGACGGCAATCCTCAAGCGTGGGGTTAGTTGTTTGAACTTCCATCATGATCGGCTCTTAAGCCTGTTTACACAATAGATCAATAGTATGAATTAGGAAATTTTTCTAAAGGCATGAGATATCGGCAAGGAAAAGTACTCCTCTCAATAGATAATTATACATGCATGCATGTTTGATGCTAGGTCTCGAGTAATCTATATGGGTACGGTTCATTTGACCGTTTGACCCTTACAACATTTTCCTATCGAGACCCGCTGTCACGAAGTAATTTCCTTGCAACAAAGTAGACATACGAGGGTAATGCCCCCACAATACTCGAGGTTTTATTGTAGGGAACCTCGGATACTATTGAATTGCTCTAAGTTAGCACGAACAATGGTTGCCTCGTTAAAAACCTCGCCGGAAAAACCTATTTGGGACAAAAACCGGTCTAAGGGAAAAAGAGTGCAACGCATGCTTTAAGATCCAAAGCTTCGTGCCGATCCTTGTCGATAGCCTACAAGTGTTAGTCGAAAAAATAGAAAGAATTGAAATGGGGTCGTACCTTTCATTCGAATTTTGGATATTTGACATGATGTTCCTCAGCATCAAGCCCCCGTGAATTTTGACCTCGATCATTCCGTGCGAAGCTTCGCCCAGACTCGTTGCCTCTACGTTCTCCGTTGTACGGTTGATATCGATCTCTATTCGACCTCGGCTCTCGATTGATGTCCTTTTTGATCCTATCCATGGGCCTGCTAGAATAAACGGACCCCGAAGGAGTCCCCAGTTGATCATCTTGGACCATGATCTTCGACTGATATCAATTATGTACGTCGGCCCAAGTGACAGCCGGGTACTTGATTAAACTTTGCTTCAACTGACGTGAAGCTATGGAACTCCGAGTGTTGAGACCTTGAGTGAAAGCTTGAACAGACCAGTCATCGGTGACCGGAGGCAAATCCATTCTCTCCGCTTGGAACCGAGATACGAATTCCCTCAGCATCTCGTTATCTTTCTGCCTTACCTTGAAAAGGTCCGACTTCCTCGTTGCAACTTTAATGGCTCCGGCGTGTGCCTTTATAAAAGAATCTGCAAGCATAGCAAACGAATCAATAGAATTAGGGGGTAAGTTATGATACCATATTAAGGCACCCTTTGATAGAGTCTCCCTAAACTTCTTCAGCAGTACAGATTCAATTTCGTCATCTTCCAAGTCATTTCCTTTAATGGCGCACATATATGAGGTGACATGTTCATTCGGATCGGTCGTCCCGTTATACTTGGGAATCTCGGGCATACGAAACTTTTTGGGGATCGGCTTCGGAGCCGCACTAGGGGAAAAGGGACTTTGCACGAACTTTTTAGAATCTAGTCCTTCCAATATCGGTGGTGCCCCCGGAATTTGATCAACTCGGGAGTTGTACGCTTCTATCCTTTTGTCGTTTTCCTCAATCTTCTTCTCCTTCGGTTCGATCCGTTTTGTGAGTTCTTCGAGCATCTTTTTAATGGCGGGGTCAGCCCCCGAATCATTGGCGTTCGATCTCTGCGGTATAGGCTCGACCCTATAAACAGTTTCTGGTTCAGGCTCTGGTTCGATCCCACTTAGTGCTGGATGCTGATTCTGTAGTTGTGCTATAGCGGCTCACTGAGCCTGTAGCATTTCAAATATCAATTGGAGGCTAACTCCACCGTCTTCTCCGCCCTGCGTACCTCGACCACCTGATCAAACTTCCCTGCGTATACGCTACCTTCAGGATCAACGCCCAGATTTGCATTTAGGGCGACATGCTAACTGACATCGACGAGGTCTACGGCCTGTGGTGCGTCGGGATTGATTGGAGGCACTCTGTTTCCCGAGGCGACTACGTGTTCGTTTTCGCCATGAAGACCAAGGCCGGTATCAATGTGAGTGGGTACTGCTTGAGAGTTCGACATGTTGATTCCTAAAATAAAAAATACTCACAAGAACAAGCATAAATGCAGTGTGTGTTATGAAGGTTAAAATATTAAGCAATCACTATTATCCTTAGCCCCACAGTGGGCGCCAAACTGCTTACCCTAAAAATTGGTTTTAAGGACACATGATTTCACCTAATATCAATTGATAAATGTAAAGATTAGTAATAGGAAATTACAATAAGATAAAGCAAATCAGTGTTTGAATGGAATTTAGGCCTTGAGCTTGAGTACCCTCGAACTGATTGGTGCAAGAACAGTTAAAAGTATAACAAGCTGATGAACAAGAATATGAGCTAGAGAAAGCGTTATATTGCTTTGATACGTCAGAACAATGTTGCCCCCCTACAAATGATTAGAACTCTTTATATAGTAGAGGAATTCTACTTAAGGTAAAATTCTAAATATGGAAGGAAATCCCATGATTGGCTGAACAACCGCTCTTGACTTGATTCGTGCTGAGATTCTCGACACGATCCTTGGCCGATCCCGGATATCTCGGTTTTCTGTTACTCGACTTAGCTTCGATCTCTATTTTACTTGGCCTCGATATTGGTCGACCTCAAGCTTAATCGGTCCCAGGGTCTCGATAACTCAACCCCGCGCCATAGATAAACATCGAGATCCAAACTTGATCTACCACGTTCCAGCCTTAGTCAGTCGAACAAAAAGGAACATTCCGATTTTGACCGTAGATAATACTAAACTCAGCAAAATGCACTACAACATTCCAGAGATTCAAATGTACCAAGCTCTACAAAACAATCACAAATCTAAAGTTATATATACAGATTCTCCCGAGAGCGTTGTAATTATGAAGGCATTGTACATAAACTATCTTTACCTATAGATGGACATAAAATAATGATTAGCCTGTAGCAGTTGAAAAGGGTTAATAACTACATACGAAAGTATATAAAGAAAGTTAGTGATACATTGAGAATGTAATTATTATTTTATATGTTAAGTAATTATTGTAGTTGCATACTAGTTAGCATTATTGTAGGTTATCAATTAATGCTACTAATTAAAGTTACTTAAAATTGCCTTTTAACAGTAATTTAAATTTGTAAATATTTAATTTTTACACCCCAAACATCAGACTTAGACTTGGATTAGGATTACATTTACCATCTGTTAGTGGCGCTATAATACTCGTAACCATACAAGAGTGCAAAATTCTATTAAAAAAAAGAATAATATTTGATGTTCTTTTATTTTTACTTTCCCAGATGCCATTCATGATATATAGCTCCAGATGCAAGGATGATATTGTAAATACAGAATTTAGAAGCGTACAAGGAATAGAGTTTAACAACTTGGCGTGTAACCATGGGACTTGTCTTGTGTGGATAGATAAGGCGATATGAACACAAAAAGCTAAGTGGAAACATGAAAAAGAAAAAAAAAGGAAATTTAAGAAAATAAAAGTCATTTTCCTGTTGAGTGGAAGTATACTTTTCTGCCCTTCATTAAAATATTCTACACTCATATATTTTTATAATAATGGGAATATGTTCATTTAAGTTTGGATGTAGACAGAAATTGGATAGAGAGATAACAGACCGTGGCAGCAGACATTTCTACCACCACCACCATATTCCTTTCATCTTTCCTTTTACAGATTCTTTATAGCTTAGTTTTAGTGTTTTTATGATATGAACCAAAACTCTTTCTTTTCTTTTCTCTCATTATTATTAATTAATTACTTTTGAGTACTGGCTATCTCTTGAAATTCTCCACAAGTTGCTTACAAGAACCAAAGTTATTTTTGATATTTATCATATTTTGAGAGTATTAAAGTAGACCTTCTCTCATATTTTTTGTTGCTTTATCTATGTCTCTGTGGTGTTTCTGACTTGATAACTAGAATTAATTACCTTTGGAGAATCTTGTTTTGGCCCATTGTTTCTTTTTTGAGCTTTGTTTTAGTAGCTTACTGGGTAATGATCAAAATTCTTGCTCGAATCTTGAGGATTCTTTCTTTGGCTTTTTGCTGTTTCTTTATCAATTCAGCATTCCTCTAATTTGAAGAAGATAGCATCAAATTGACTTTCACTTGTTTTACTCTATCTATATTCCTCATCATCTGTAGTGGTGTTAGGTTCAGTGAAGTGCTTATTATTTGTTGGATGAGTTTGATCCATGTAATTGGGTTCGGTTTGAAATTGGGGAACTTACTGTTGACTCTATGTTGGTGGTTAGTGTCATTGATGTCCATGAATTGGTTAAATAATGGTAGCAAGAGTTTGGTTGGTGATGGGGAGCAGATATTGATGAAATTGTGGGAAGGTATAGCAGAGCTGAGTGCTAAGATTTACCATTGTTACCCTCGGTATGTCGTAGGAAAAAAGTGGTGGAGGAAGCTTTTGATAGCATGGGTATTATTTTGGATACTCGTATCTTTTTCAGTATTCTGGTACATGAGCACTCAAGCTTTTGACAAGAGAAAAGAAACACTTGCTAGTATGTGTGATGAGAGGGCTCGGATGTTACAGGATCAGTTCAATGTTAGTATGAATCATGTGCAGGCCATGTCCATTCTCATCTCTACTTTCCACCATGCCAGGAACCCTTCTGCTATTGATCAGGTCATAATCTCATCTTCATCCATAAGAAAAGACTTTAACCATCCTAAATTATGGGTTTTAGAAGTTTTTTATAATTGTTCAAGTCTTAGTAACTTCTTAGCACTAAGATTATGGTGAACTCTAAACCATAGATTCTTGTGTTTTTTCTTGGTCACTTATATGTTGAACTCCTTAGACTTGTTTTTTCAATCAAATAAAAGTGACTGTCTAAATCTTTTGCTATTAGTCTTCAAGGTGTTCTTATAGCCTGTTTGGCCAAGCTTTTGCAAGGCCAAAGGCACTTTTATTCAAAAAAATGTTTTTTTTTTGGCCATAGTTGAAGTGTTTGGCCAAGCTTTTAGAAGTAAAATAAAAGAGCTTTTGACAAAAAGTATTTGTTGCTTTTAGAAGTTTGGCCAAACATGCTATTAGTTACATTGGGCCTATAGAAACAGCTTAGTAATCTTTCTATTTAATTCTTTAAAATGCCCAAAAACTCTGTGCTTGCAGGGTACTTTTGCAAGATATACAGAAAGAACAGCGTTCGAGAGGCCTCTTACAAGTGGGGTGGCATATGCAGTAAGAGTGCTCCACTCAGAAAGAAAAGAGTTTGAGAAGCAACAAGGTTGGAGTATTAGGAGAATGGATACACTTGAACAAACTCCAGTTCACAAAGATGACGAGTATGATAGAGATGGCCTGGAGCCATCACCAGTTCAGGCGGAATATGCCCCTGTTATTTTTGCACAGGATACTATTGCACATGTAATTTCTGTTGATATGCTCTCCGGAGAGGTAACTTCTTTATTAAATCTTCCAGAGTGTTCTTTGAATGTGCATTATTAGATAGCTAGAGGTAGTTATTTTAGAATCTGCCACACACTCATACATATGCAAAGGGAAGTACAAAGAGCAAGACCCTTATAAATGATTGTGCCAAACAGGAAGATCGCGAGAATGTTTTACGTGCGAGGGCATCAGGAAAGGGTGTTCTCACGGCTCCCTTCAGGCTACTTAAAACAAATCGCCTTGGAGTGATAAAGACATTTGCAGTTTACAAAACCGATCTTCCTTCTAATGCAACTCCAAATGAAAGGATCCAAGCAACTGACGGGTATTGCCATCTGCTTTATACACTCACTTACTGACTACTCAACTTTTGGAATATGTTGCCCCTTACATAGTGGGAATAGAATCTAAAAACTGCAGGAGAAAGGCAAAAGATAATGATCTTGTTCAGCATTTTAGAATTTCACATTTTGGAGTAAGCTAATATTCTGGAATACTTATCAAATAGGAAATTCATGAAGGGACCTGATGACTTCTCGTGACCAAATTATGTTAGCTAATTAAGTGACTATTTTATAAGCTTCTTTCCTTTTGAAGCAGGTATCTTGGTGGAGTCCTTGACATTGAGTCGCTTGTAGAGAAGCTTCTTCAGCAGCTTGCAAGCAAGCAAACTATCCTTGTAAATGTGTATGATACAACTAATATCTCCCACCCTATTAGCATGTATGGTTCAAATGTGTCAAGTGATGGTGTGGAGCATGTCAGTGCCCTCAACTTTGGGGATCCATTTAGAAGGCATGAGATGCGCTGCAGGTGATTTTGTGCTTTCATCATTGGATGTCTTCTTTGTGTATAATCATGATTCCTGTCATTTTTCGCTTAACTGGATATGGACACTAAAGATTTGAGGAGGCTCAATAGATTTGAATTTAAGATTGAATCCTCCGAGATTGCTACTCTTTTTTTCAGATTCAAACAGAAACCACCATGGCCTTGGCTAGGCATCACAACTGCCACAGGAATTCTTGTAATTGCATTGCTTATTGGGCAAATATTTCATGCAACAATAAACAGAATAGCCAAAGTTGAGGATGATTATCATGAGATGATGGTGCTAAAAAAGCGTGCTGAGGATGCTGACGTTGCAAAATCACAGGTATATATGATTTTTCTTTTTCCGCTAAATACTTTTATCCAACACTTGTTATAGGATATGACCTAAATTGACCTCTGTCTTGTAGTTTCTCGCTACTGTTTCCCACGAGATCAGGACCCCCATGAATGGTGTTCTTGGTGAGTCTCGAAATTTGCAATTTGCTGCGTCATTACTCTTAGTATATTTTAGAGGATATCGGAGTATTAGGATAAACATGTATACACTGTTTCACAGGCATGCTTCATATGCTTATGGACACCAATCTAGATGTGACACAACAAGATTATGTCAGTACAGCTCAGGCTAGCGGTAAAGCTTTAGTTTCACTAATAAATGAGGTTTTGGACCAAGCAAAGATAGAATCTGGTAAGCTTGAGCTTGAGGCCGTCTGTTTTGATGTGAGAGCTACTCTGGATGAGGTTCTCTCGCTCTTTTCGGGGAAATCTCAAGAAAAAGGAGTTGAGGTACTCCACACCTTAGACTTTCTATTTATTAATACTATCTTCTTTTTCCTATTGTGATCTAATTATTCTTTTTCTTGAGTGCAGTTGGCAGTTTACATCTCTGATAAGGTTCCCGATGTGCTCATTGGTGACCCTGGACGGTTTCGTCAGATTATCACAAACTTGATGGGAAACTCTATCAAAGTAAGTTCACATATCTCTTCAACTTTGCTCCCAGAAAATATAGCAGTGACAAAGAGTTGACTTAGCTAGGAGAGGGAAAGCGAAAGAGGAATACTACTCTCTGATTGAGTTTAAAACTGGAGTTGATATATGAGTTTGTGCGTTGTTTTAGCCCCTCTACAGGACTTCCCTTTGCTACCCTGGTGACTCGAACCGCAACCTCAAGATTGGAGGTGGAGAGTGCTTACCACTTGAGCAACTCTCTTGTCAAGGGATATCTAAAATTACTAAAGATCCATCCGGTGTTTTTCTTATGTAGGAATTAACTGAATGCGTTGCAGAAAAGGAAGTAACTAGTGCAGTCAATAACGTGCTTTTGTCATGTTCTGCTTATTAAGTTACCAAAGTTGCGCCCGATTTTAATAATAATAATAATAATATATATATATATATATATATATATATATATATTGTCTCTATATACTTGATATGAGTCATTCTAGTCGATTCCAACTTGCTTGGGACCAAGATACAGTTGTTATTGTTGTTGTATCGGAGATAAACAAGCATCTAAAGGATTCTAAAAAGGTGTTGTGCTGCCCCACTTAATTTCCTTGCAATTTTAGCTTGAAGGCTTAGATTGTTTGACAGTGTATCAACACCAACTTTTGGTAAACCAACTCTCACATTTGTAAATGTGCATTCAAGTCCACTATTGAGCTAAATGTGCTAGAGAGTGCTGGAGATATGGAATGACTCATATCAAGTATATATGGCCTTAAGGGCCAGGGGTGCACAAATATATAATGACCTAAGTTGCTCTGACACGGCAGTTTAGGTGCGCACCCGCGTCGACACGACACTAGTATGGGTGTGGGTATGGGATCCGTACCGGATCTGGTCAAATAATTTTGGGTACTTTGACCATGACAGGTGGAAAAATTCGAGACGAAATACAATTTGATTCCCGAAATAAGAACCAAAAGTAGGAAAAATTTGAAGAAAATAGCACACCTCATCTAGGAAATTAATCCTTTACTTATTTACAACTTGAGAATAAGAAAGAAATTCACACTTTACATGTTATACAAGTACTCCACAAAATTTCTCATAATTTAAAAATATTTTTATATTTTTGAATTGTTTATTAGCCGGATCTCTGGCACCTGTATCCGTGCTAGGATCCGTATCCCCGAATCTTCGAACTTACATCTCGAAGGATCCAACCTCTAGATCTGCACCCGTGTCAGACACCGCACCCGTGTCCGAGCAACATAGATAATGTTACTCACATTGATATACACGGTTAAAAAAGAGTTTTGGACTTCTGGTGATGTATATAATTAAACATTACATATATAAGGGCATCTAAGGGGTTAGTTGTGGGTACTCCACCCCACTTTAGGTTTTGGGTTGGATGATCATACTTTTCACACTCTCTAAAGTATAATGTCTTTTTGCAGTTCACCGAGAAAGGTCATATATTTGTGATGGTCCATCTTGTCGAGGAAGTGATAGAGTCATCTGAGGAGTTCAAGATGGAATCGTCGTTAAAGCACACTTTGAGTGGCTTGCCTGTAGCTGATAAACGACAGAGCTGGAGAAATTTTGTAGCTTTCAATCAAGAAGGATCCGCTTCTTTCACATCTTCCTCGCTGGGCCAGATCAATCTGATAGTTTCAGTAGAAGACACTGGTGTAGGAATTCCTTTAGAAGCTCAATCTCGTATATTCACCCCCTTCATGCAGGTTGGTCCTTCTATTGCTCGCATCCATGGGGGAACAGGTATTGGACTTAGCATAAGCAAATGTTTGGTTCAACTTATGAAGGGTGAAATTGGATTTGTAAGTTTGCCAAAAATTGGATCCACCTTTACTTTTACTGCTGTTTTCACCAATGGCCGCTGTAATTGGAATGAGCAGAAAAGCAAACAAATCAACAATCCGTCAAACTCTGTTTCTTCGGAATTCCATGGCATGAGAGCCTTAATTGTTGACCCAAGAACTGTCCGTGCTAGGGTCTCACAGTATCACATGAAACGACTTGGAGTTCATTCTGAAGTGGTTTCAGATTTGAATCACTGTTTGTCTTACTTAAGAACTGACAATAGGGTCACAAATATGATCCTCATTGAACAGGAGGTCTGGGATACTGATTTGGGAATGTCAATTCTCTTTGTCAAAAACTTAAGAAATATCGATGCTAATGACCCTCCTAAACTATTTATATTAGCTAATGCTATAAATTCTAACCGAGTTGGTGTAGCCAATGGTCTTTCTTCTCCATTTGTCATCATGAAGCCACTAAGGGTGAGTATGCTTGCTGCATCGCTTCAACGTGCCATGGGTGTTGGTAACAAAGGGAATTGCACGAACGGAGAGCTCTCCGGTTCTTCTCTTTCCAAGCTACTTCAAGGGAGAAAAATTTTGGTTGTGGATGACAATAATGTGAACCTTAGAGTAGCTGCTGCTGCGCTGAAGAAGTATGGTGCTGATGTTGTCTGCACAGACAGTGGAAAAAAGGCAATCACTTTCTTAAAACCACCTCATCAGTTTGATGCATGTTTCATGGATATTCAGATGCCAGAAATGGATGGGTATGTTTCTTAAGAAACGCTATGTTATGTACCATTTTTAGACCCACCAATTGATATTTTCCTTGCTTATTTTTGCATAACCATGAGCTTCTGCTCCAATCATAGCAATTCCTTTATCGCACTTTCTGCTCTGCACAAGTAACCTTTAGAGAAGCTCTGTTAAATGTTTGACAAATTAAGTCGCTTTTAAGCTGATGGTAACACTATAAAATTCAATAACAGGTTTGAAGCTACAAAGAGAATCCGCGACATGGAATCTGATATCAATAGCTGTATCCAACTCGGACAACTTCCTGTTGAAGCTTATGGAAATGCTTCAAGCTGGAAAGTGCCCATTTTGGCCATGACTGCTGACGTGATTCAAGCTACAAACGAACAGTGTCAGAAATGTGGAATGGATGGTTATGTGTCGAAGCCATTTGAGGCCGAGCAACTTTATCAAGAAGTGTCGCGCTTTTTTCACGTCAAACCAAATCAGAATAGCTGAAGATCAGTAGAAATGCCATTTTCTTCATGGTGCCCAAACTTGATTACTACTGCAAGTTAAGAGTGCGAATCTCCGAAACTTAACAGACAAAGTACATAAAACTTCAAGGATTGCTTTTGGATTCTTTGTTGGGGTCTGATCTGACATCTTACAAGCTTGAGGAGCAGAGGAGTTGAATGTAACCACTTGAACTTCTGCTTCTCTCATCAAGGAAAAACCTTTCTTAAAGAGTTGTCAATCCTTTTGATGGCTAGTCTCTTGAGGAATGGATGATGCTTGTACCATAGAGAGTGATCTAGTTGATTTAGGAACAAACATTGTTTGTCAGCAGAAACACGTTTCATGTGTATATTCTCAAATCCTATAGGGCACATAGGAAAGTAGTCATAATAGGTAAAAGGTTAGTTCAGTCATAGTTGGCATAAACATAGGGACATCAAACAGTTGAATTGCTTCTTTTCCCTTTGTGTATAGTACAAAGAACATGTTTTTGATGTAGGACATTTTGATATCAAGTATAAAGTAAGCATTCAAATGTTGCTTCTGCAGATGCACAATTCCTGCATAATTATTTAATTTTGTTTATTGCCTTCCCCTTAAAGTGAAACGGAAAAAAAGGTGAAAATCTAGCGGAAGTGTGGGTTTAATATGTCTACTACTCAGACCTTAAGTAAATAAAATTTGGAAGATCTGTCTTTTTTGGTTAAGATGATATGCAATCTGTTAGTGAAGTGGCTCGAAGCTACACGAGTATGGGAGTTTATCTGGAGCATGAGTTGACCTATTAGCTCAACCAGATGATTTTGTTATGTTATACTTTTTCAGAGTCAAATTTCCAAAATTTTAATATATATATATATATATATATATATATATATATATATATATATATATATATATATATATATATGTATTTATTTTAAACTACATATTAAAAAATGTATGAAAAGAACTATATATTGTAAATCTTCTCATATTTGCGCCCAACCCGTTCTTATTTTCCCTGGTGATGGACGTACTGACACGACATATTCAAGGGGAGGTGCCATGGTGTGTGTTATTCGCTGATGACATAGTTCTGTTTGATGAGACGCAAGGCGGTGTTAACAAGAGGCTGGAGGTTTGGGGACAGGCCCTTGAGTTTAAGGGTTTCAAGTTGAGCTGAGCCGGACTGAGGCAGAATACCTAGAGTGCAAGTTCAGCGACGAGTCGAGGGAAGCGTGCATGGACGTGAGGCTTGGATCACAGGTCATTCCCAAGAGAGGCAGTTTCAAGTACCCTGGGTCGATTATCAAAAAGGACGGGGAGATCGACGAGGACGTCACACACCGTATAGGGGTGGAATGGATGAAATGGAGGATAGTATCTAGAGTCCTTTGTGACAAGAAATTGCCTTCGATACTCCAAGGTAAGTTTTATAGAGCGGTGGTTAGACCAACTACTTTGTATGGGGTAGAGTGCTGGCCGGTTAAGAACTCAAATATACAGTTGATGAAAATAGCAGAAATGAGGATGTTGAGGTAGATGTGCGGGCACACTAGGATGGATAAGATTAGGAACAAAGATATTCGAGAGAAGGTGGGCGTGACTCCTATAGATAACAAGATGCAGGAAGCGAGGCTCAGATAGTTCGGGCATGTGCTGAGGAGAAGCCCTAATGCCCCGGTAAGAAGGTGTGAGCGGTTGGCTTTAGCGGGTACGAGAAGAGGTAGAGGGCGGCTTAAGAAGTATTGGGGAGAGGTGATCAGGCAGGACATGGCGTGGCGCTTCAGATTTTCGAGGACATGGTTCTTCATAGAAAGGTGTGGAGGTCGAGCATTAGAGTTGTAGATTAGGAGGTAGTTGAACATTTTTCTACTTCGTACCGAGTGTGAGGCTGGTCTGATAGGGTTTGTCTTAGATTGCTCGTTGTTAATGTTATGTTCACACTATTCTTCCGTTTTCGCAGAACCGGGCTTATTTACTAGTTATTGTTGTTGCGTTTCATCTATTTTTTGGTTCTTATGATGCTGTTATTATTTCTATGGTTTCTGTTGACAGTACTGATATATTGTCTCTTTTCATCGTTTTCGTTTTCTTGAGCCGAGGGACTATCGAAAAGAGCGGATATGGTTTGTGTTCACACTACCCTCCGTAGACCCCTCACCTGTGGGATTTTACTGAGTTGTTATTGTTATAAATTTTAATTTTAATATACGAATTAATCTAATCCAATTTAGCTTTAAAGATTTTGAGAAGGAAAACGTGATAAATATTTTGGGATGGAGGGAGTACATTTCTACAAGCACAGAAATAAAACTGTTTTAAAATAGCTGGAGCCGAGTGCTAGCCATTTGTTTAGTAAGATGTACGCTGCGTAATAAGCTTGTACAGGAAATGCATCTTATTGGCAATTAAAGTTTGGTATCATGTGTAGATGGGTCAGAACTCGGAAGTGTCAAACAGTCCGCGTATTAGGCGGACAAGGATAGACTAACTACCAAGTGTAGAGTCTCTTACTCGTAGGAGGACCAGTTGGGTTGTTCTTGGTAGTATCATATAGTCCACCTTTCTATTAAGATTAAGAGTGTCACCCACGATAATATTTCAAAAATCTATACTATATAAGTAATATATAATTTAGAATGTACCGAAACGATGAACCCACATACGTACATCACTGAGTATACAATAAGGATAGCGTCAACGCTTCAGACATCGAAGTCGATATGTCCGAGTGGTTAAGGAGACAGACTTGAAATCTGTTGGGCTTCGCCCGCGCAGGTTCGAACCCTGCTGTCGACGAAGACTTTAGTTGTTTGTTTTTTCTCCTTTCATAAATAAAAGCACATTTGGACAAGTAAGAAAATTATATTTGCCATATAACCGAAACATTATTCACTAAATCATGATAGAATAACGCAGAGCTTAACATATATGCGAATATCTCAAATATACAATACTTTTCGGATATAAAAATGATAATATAAATAAAAAGAAAAGAATTTCAAAGGATTGCGATGGTCAATGCAGCTACCTCGATTCTCTCAATCAATGAAGCTTTCACTGCCTAGATCCGCTACCTCAAACACTTAGTAGTGACGAGGTTCAAGTCATGTGATACTCACTAGTCACAATAACTTGTGCAATAAATCAAAAGATTGACAATAGAAAATATAACAGAAACAACAACAATAATCTCATCGGAACAAGTGATAACAATTAAAAACAAGAAAACAACTCACTTCTTAAACAACAGGTCATTAAATAGATTTGCACACATAAGGCATGTCACACCCACATTATCAGTCTCACTCGCATGGCAAAGACCTCGTGCCATAATACCAATCACACTCGCACAACAAAGACCTCGTGCCAACATCACTCACACTTGCATGACAAAGACCTCATGCCATAATATAATCACACCCGCATAGACGATACCTCGTGTTCGCATGACAAAAAACCTCATGCCCATATCAATCACACTCTCGCACGGAAGAAACCTCGTGCTCGCATGGAAAAGACCTTGTGCCCATGGCAATCTCACTCGTATGGAAGAAACCTCATGCTCGCACGACAAAATACCTCGTGTCCATACCCACACATGCGTCACAAAATCACAAGCAATAATGCCAAAGTGTTTATCACGGGTATGAGTTCATAATTTATCAACAAATGCACAAGGACATGTAAAATAGTAAAGCGCGGATGAGTATTTAACAAATAATGCATTACTACAACTAAAAATAAGTATAGTGATCATGTTCACGTAGCCACATAGTGATTAAGCATGGTTCATATACAATACATCCTCAAATGATAACATATTAATAGCCTAAGGTCTATTTCTGTCACAAACCACATATAATACCCATGTACACGCTCGTCACCTCGTGTACACGTTGCATTCCACATAACACAAATAAGCAATTACGGCCAAATCCTAAGGGGTATTCCCCCCACAAGGTTAGGCAAGATATTTACCTTAAATAAGCCAAATCAATACTCCAAAAAGCCCTGCCTCTCGAATCGGCTTCCGAATAGGTCAAATCTAGCAAAAAACAACTCAATAATATCAGACACGACAATAGAAATAGATTTTAATTAATAAAGCTCCAATATTTATCAAAAATAAAAAAGCCAACAATACACTCAACATGGGCCCATCTCTCGGAACCCGACAAAAGTCATAATTTCGAACACACATTAGAATATGAGTCCAACCATACAAGTTTCATCCAAATATGACTCTGTATCGAGGTTCATTTAGAAAAGATTTTTTCAAAATTCCTAATTTTCTTCACTTAGATTCACCAATCAAGCGCTAAAATAAGGGTTGGAATCAGGAATAATAAACAAATCCTAGTCAAAAACACATATCCCAATTCCAATCGTGAAAATCTCCTAAAAATCGCTTAAATTTGAGATCCCAATCTAAAAAATGTGATAAATGACTGAAACCCTCGAAATAGAGTACTTAAGGGTGTGCCCAGGTATATGCATCGCGATACGGGAACCACATCGCGATCGCGAAGGCAAAAAACTCACCAGATCAAAATTACCTTCACATTTGTGTCCACATCATCGCGAACGCCTACCCCTAGAGGGAAAGTTACTTCCCTTTTGGTCCGGTTGTGGACAAGGAGGGATTCAATCCCCGACACCATGGATTTTAGCCACGTGCTCTAATCCTCTGAGCTACAGGCCCCACCCTGTCTCCATTGGATCTATTCCCGGGAGTATCCTTAAAAAAAAAGAATCTTTCCTCTCCCCTGCCATTATGGGTAAAGAAGATGTGAAAGCGCGTTTATCTCTATAAGAAGGGTGATTCCGAGGTGTGAAGTGGGATAGAAGGGATGTCACAATTGGGGTTTGAATAAAACGACCTTTTGATTTTTCATTTTTTTTTCATTTTCATATTGAAAAAGCAATAAGAATGAGAGGTGTTAAGTTTTTTTATCATCCTGGCGTCGAGCTATTTTTTTCGCAGGACCTCCCCTACAATATCGTCACCGCAATAGAGTTTAACCACCAAGTTCTGGATGGATTGGTGTGGTTCCTCTACGCCCAAGACACTAAAATATCGAATCATGAACGAAGAAAGGCATGAGAGAAAAGCCTATTGGCTAGTCAAGAAGAACTCACCTAACCCTACGTAAACGCGGCTAGTACCTCGTGAACGCGTAGGCCAAATCCCTTCCACCTCCTAGCTGCTTCGCAAATGCGGATCCTAATTGCGAACGCGATGAAGGGCGACTGCTTAGCTCACACTAACCCTCCACGAATGTGACTACCTTTTCGCGATCACAATGAACACATCAGACACCAGCAATTTAGTAGTCCAAAACAAAGGGGGATTGGTCTGAAACCACCCAGAAATACCTCTAAGGCCCCCGGGACCCCGTCCAATCACACCAACCAATCCCAAAACCTAAAACGAACCTACTCGAGTCCTCAAATCACATAAAATAACATCAAAACTACGAATCACACTCAATCCAAACTTAATGAACTAACCAAAATTTTCGAATTCAAAACTTAAGGCGAACATGCCTAAACAACTCAG